AAACCGTTCCAAAACCGACACCCAAACAACCCCAGCCCCAGCACGAGCACCGACGTAAGTGAACCAGCCCCCCCAAACCCCCCCTCCCCTTCACCCAACATGGACACACAGCACCCCCAACCAAAAACATCTTCCCGCGCCCCTGGACTTTATTAAGACTCTAAAGAATCATATCAACTTGTGGAAAATGGGCATCCTATGACCCCTTTAATGAATTCCAAACATTCGTAAATGGGGCGAGCGTGCACGCTCATTCATAATTACCATAATCCCCGTCCATAAATTCTGACTGACAACTATATATGGGCATCATATTTTGAAAAGAAAATAAGAATTTCATCATGTCCTCTCAAAAGCAAATGAAAAATACAAATTTATCAGGCGCAGAAATTGAAGTTTTGTTATCGGAAGTGTATTCAAAACGCAGAATTTTATTTTCAAGCGTACATAGTGGAGTATCATGTCAAGGAAGCTTGGCAGCACATTACAGATGCTGTTAATGCAGTTTCATCTGTTAATCAACCAGTCATCATTCTCTGCAAGTAGGCTAAGTCTGCACAGTCTCTAAAAATATGTATTTTGTGCAGCGCTCTGTCTGCCAAATCTAGCAATAACTCTATATCAGCCATAGGAAATGTTTATTGTTAAACCTCATTCTGGCCATTTTATAGAAAACCATTTCCATAATAATTAGTAGACTAATTGGTACATCCCTAACAAAAGTAGCTAATTATTTGATAAAAGTGTTAAATTTGCAGATTATATTCCTAATATTCTTAATTATGCTGTTCATAATAATAGTAAAAAGGAAAATACAGTATACTGTGTATAATTACTGTATATTATTTTATCAAAATGCTGCGTGATACGTGATTATGTAAGGTAAATAGTTTTATAAACATGCAGTGCCATCAATGATGTTCGGATGATTTACAACCCATTTATGTGGGGCTGGGAGCAGGTGTAAACTTTTTGTGTACCAACTAACATTTGTAAAATACGAACACTTTCATGAATCCCAAAATTTACGTCAGAACAGCTTTACGAATGATTTACACAAAAATGAGTTCTGCTCGTGTTTTATGAATGAGGCCTTATGTGTGTATATATAAGCTTATGCAAATAATACAATTTCTCTGAATGTTACACATTTCCAGTGTAGCATAATGGGACATGATATGAAAATATTTGTTTCAGCCTTTTAGCTTACAGGAAAGTCAGAGAGACTGCACTGTATGGCTCTAAAACATGCCTTTTCAGGATAATAAAAACATTTAAGAGTATCTTAGGGCTGGTGCTGGCATACTGAGGCTTTATCCTTCTAGCTTGGAATGCGTTTATAAAAGTAGTCCTGTATGCGTCTGGCAGAATATGCATTATCAGTATACTTTATAGTTGTCTGTGATGTGTAAGAGTATCCCAGGGTCATGAAACTCTATAGTTTAGAGTTCTATAACTGTAAGGGCTGCTCTGACATGAGCATATTCAAATTTCAGCTTGCTGGGAAGGATTCTCAAGAAAGCATTTACAACATTTTTCTAAGTTGCCAAAACAAAACATAATACACATCATGGTTTTTATCATTTGTTTGTGCTATTTAAATATTGATATTAAGAATAAATATACAGTGGGGAAAAAAGTATTTAGTCAGCCACCAATTGTGCAAGTTCTCCCACTTAAAAAGATGAGAGAGGCCTGTAATTTTCATCATAGGTATACCTCAACTATGAGAGACAAAATGAGAAAAAAAATCCAGAAAATCACATTGTAGGATTTTTAAAGAATTTATTTGCAAATTATGGTGGAAAATAAGTATTTGGTCAATAACAAAATTTCATCTCAATAGAGTGCAGACCAATTTTCTTTATTGTAATCAGTCACTAAAAACAAGTCCAAAAAGAGAACATTTCACAAATGCTAGGGTCACTGATGGTTTTAATATATTTATTTAAAGCCACAAGTAGTAATGTTATGATATCTGCTTGTGAGGTCAATTTACACAAGTCCTGTGAAGTATTTTTTTTATCATTTGTTATTAATGTTGAAAGAAAAATGTGGAGAAGTTGCTCATGATAATTGTAATGTTTTTGCAGGCAAAAGAGTGGCTTTGCTTAAACTGCCAGACACTGAGAGCACTGAAAGGAATAGAGCCTGCCGGACAACCCACAATAAAGTCCCAAACACAGCCCAGCAAATCTCAAAAGATGGAATCTACACATGGTCCTTTAGAGAAAGAGCCCACAGCTCAGCCAACAAAGACTAGTTCTGCCAACCAACCTGCTGATCAGAAAAAGATGCATGAACAACAGACTGGTGCAGCAGGAGCAAAGCAAGCTCTCTCCCCTATGCCTTTACAGCAACCGACAGCAAAAAATTCCCCCTCTCCTCCTGTGTCTAAAGCAGCACCACAGACTTATACAGAGCAAGAACAGTCAGGATTTTTTGGCTTTTCAGGCTTTGGTGGAGCCCATTCACAATCACCATCCCCTCAGCCCGCTGTTTTGGCCATGTCTGGTAAAGATCTAGGATTTGGGTCGTCCTTCCTGAGCTCAGCATCTAATCTAATTTCATCAGCAGTTCAAGATGAACCTTCTACAGCACCTTCAGTCTCTCAAACTTTCCTCAAGTCTACTACTCCACCAACATCTCACAAAGGGTCTGCAGCATCACAAGGGGCTGCCTTATCAGCATCAACAAGAAAGGCTAATCAATCAGATGGTCAGAAAGAAGAAAAAAAGACAGAGCTAACTGCTGACCAAAAGAACAAAGCACCAGTATCTCAAATTAAAAAAGCCGAACCTTCTTCACAGATGCCAAATGCAGACAAAGGCCCTCAAACCTTGCCCAAATACTGCCCACTCTGCAAGGTACAAATCCAAAAGGACCTTGCCAACTACAACACTTGTACGGAGTGCAAAAACACTGTTTGCAATCTCTGTGGATTCAACCCAACACCGCATCAAACTGAGGTAATGTTATGTTGACTTTTAATGCTTTTTACAAGTTTTGATTGATATATGTTAACATGAGTTAACCAATTTGTCTTTTCAGTTGAAAGAATGGCTTTGTCTAAACTGTCAGACTCAAAGAGCTCTAAGAGGAATGGAGCCACCAGGACCTCCAAAGTTGGAGACTGCAGCGCAGCCCAACAAAATCCCTACCACTCAACCATTGGCTTCACCCTCAATTCAAAAGAAAGGGATTTCTGAATTGGAAAAGTTAGCCAAGAAAACTGACCCTCCTCAGAAATTACAACAACAACAATCCAAGGCTCCAAATGGTACTCTACCAATCCAAAAAGACCAGCAGCAAGAAAATGAATTCAAATCTGAAGTTCCTGTCAAGACAGCCAAGGAAGAATCTGGATTGCTTGGTTTTGGTGGTGCTAGGTCAAGGTCTTCATCTCCTCAGCCTGCTATGTCTGCTGTATCTGGGAAGGTTCTTGGCTTTGGTTCCTCCTTTCTCAGCTCAGCATCTAATTTAATATCATCAACTGTGCAAGATGAGACCTCTGCAACACCACCAACCTCCCGCAAAGCTTCCACAGTTTCCCAGAACTCAACACCACCCACATCTCGGAAGAGCTCTGCTGTTTCACAGACCATAAACACAGGGGATACTAAACGACCTACTGCACAAAAACAAGAGAAAAAGATTTCTGAGTCACCTCAGCTAGCAAGTAAATCTTCTGTGAAAGCAAAAATAGACCATACATTGTCTGCAAAAGTTGACAAAACTCCCCTGCCTCTTCCCAAAATCTGTCCTCTTTGTAAGGCAGCTATTACCAGTGATCCTCTTAATTTCAGCACCTGCACAGAATGCAAAAACATTGTGTGTAACCATTGTGGATTTAACCCCATGCCTCATCAAATAGAGGTAAGAGAAAGAGTTTATTTTACTCTGCTGGTCATAATTGATTTATTGAAGGACAGTCATGTTGATTTGTGGTTGTGATTTTGGTCATGCAGATGAAGGAATGGCTCTGTTTGAGTTGCCTGATAAAGAGAGCACCTGAACCTTCAAGTCTAAATCCCCAGCTGCAGACTAATGCTGGCTCACAACAAGACAAAACAGCTCCACATCAGCCTCCTCCAGAACCCAGTAGAACTGAGGACCAGTCAAAAACAGCACTTGGAAAACCCACTACTATATCTACAATACAAAATCTTCCAAAGGAAAAACCTGCACAGAAAGAAACTATAAAATCTCAAAAGCCAAAAGATAGTAGTGCTCCAGCCAAATCCGAAACATCACAATCAGATTCCTCCAAAAAAGATACCGGTTTCTTTGGCTTTGGTTTTGGTGGTGCTCGATCTCGATCACCTTCTCCTCAACCTATTGTCTCGGAGAAAGTTCTAGGCTTTGGCTCCTCGTTCCTCAGCTCAGCATCTAATCTCATATCTTCGGTAGTTCAAGATGAATCCTCCACAACACCGCCAACACCTCGTAAAGGTTCAACAGTTTCCCAGACCTCAGTGAAGTCTACAACGCCGCCCACCTCTCGTAAGGGTTCATCAGTTTCACAGACATCTCTCAAAACCACATCTGCTGTGGCATCAGCAGCTACATCCCATAAGGGATCCACAGCATCCCAGGACACAACAAAAATACAGGTTGGGGAAAATAAACCTCTGTCTCAAAAGCAATTGGAAGACAAGGAGCCCTTGCAGCCTCAGCCTTTCAAATCACCATCTAAACCGCCACCAAAGCTTCAAGCTATTAAAATGTCCTCTCAGTCTCTCCCTAAAGAATGCCCACTTTGCAAAGTGGAGCTCAAGAAAGATCCTCCTAACTTCAACACCTGCACTGAATGCAAGATCATTGTATGTAACCTCTGTGGGTTTCTCATGCCTCATCAAATCAAGGTAAGATAATTCAGTATTTGCAAAATGAGCTGTGGGCTATACTTTATTTACCTTCAGTAAAAATACTTTTGATAGCAATATTGCTGAATTAGCTGTAGAATGATAATGCTATGTAGGAAACCATTTTGTCTGGGGTTTCTCAAACGCTCTCATTTGTTGGCAGGCAAAAGAGTGGCTTTGCTTAACCTGTCAAGTGCAACGAGTCCCTTCCCATGCAGAGCCTCAAGATCAAGCTAAGAAAGTAGCCCCAGTGCCAAAGGAGGAGCAAGATGCTCCAGAAACTGCGCAGAAGAAACAAAACACAGAGGAAGCCACCAATACTGGTCAGAAAACAGCTGTAGTTGGGGGAAAGGAGCCAACTGATGTGACACCACAACAGCTCAGTCAACTGAAGACCTCACAGCAGATGAAATCAGACAAGCCTCAAGAAAAACAATCCAAGCCACCAAAGGCTGAGCCTAATCAAGTGGAGTCTGGATTTTTTGGTTTTGGCGGGGCTCGATCTAGGTCTCCTTCACCTCAGCCTGCTGTTTCTGCGGTGTCTGGCAAAGTTTTAGGCTTTGGTTCCTCCTTCCTTAGCACAGCTTCTAATCTGATATCTTCAGCTGTTAAGGATGAACCTTCCACAACACCACCAACCTCCCGCAAAGGTTCATCAGTTTTAGAAACAACACCTCCTCCCTGCTCCCGTAAAGGCTCTACAGTATCTCAGTCATTGTTCAACAACAACACAACATCACCTAGCTCACAACAAGGTTCTGGAACCACACAAGGTTCTCAGAAGGCCCAACCTAGTAAAGATACTAAACCATCAACTGAACAGAAACAAGAGGAGAAGACACCATTGCTTCAACAGGCTGAGGAGCCATCAAATAAAGTGAAACAGGATAAAGAGACACCTATATCCAAGCCTCTTCCCAAGGTCTGCCCACTCTGCAAGGTGGAGCTCAAGAAAGATCAATACAACAGCTGCACTGAATGCAAAAATATCGTATGTAACTTGTGTGGGTTCAACCCTATGCCCCATCAAAATGAGGTAAGAAAATATCACTGTTGTGTTGAACAATTTTTTTTGTTTGTTTGCTAAGTCCATGTAAAGCAATATTAAATGTGTTATGAGTTTGTCACACCACAGAAAAATGTATTAACCACCCAGCCAAATTTGAATGAAAGAAATGGCAAGTAAATAAAATAAGTTATCAAAATCTTGAAAAAATAAGCAGTATTCTCTACTCTCAAACGCTGGGGGTGTGTCTGTGGTCGGCGCTGAAACCACGCCCACTCGCAGGAACGCTGCTGTCTCTCTCAACGGTCAAATACCACTACAACCTGAATGGATGCTCTATCTAGCAGCTTATTTGGATTTACACACCCATACATTACGTGATGAAGGCATAGCTAGCTAGCAAACTGGGCTGTAGTAACTAACACTAATGACTTACTCACGATTGAGCGGGTGAACCACTGATGCTAATCCACTGTAGTTATTAGTTGTGTTCGACTTCAGGCAGCGCTGCGCAGACAGATTGGTGTATGACATCAAAGTACCATGAGAGCTATTAGAGAACAGGTGACTCTGCATGCTTTTGAATCGCCCTCGCGGTTCTTTGATGTCATACACCGATCTGCACAGTGCCACTTCAAGCCGATCACACCTCTTACAGTGTTAGGGGAGGGGCCATGCTCAGTGGCTCCAGTGCGTCATCAAGACATGATTCAGCCCCGCCCAAAAAAATCCTGAATACAAAGATGGTGAAAAACTGTTTAACAGTCTAACTCCACAATTTAGTACTACATAGTTCACAGTATTTGTAACGTGTTTGAGCAATACATTTCTAACATTTATAATGGGTTTAGAAACAATTATCTCAATTGTCTTTACATGGACTTTAAAGTCAGCATGAAAGGGAAGTTGCAAACCACTTTAAGTTATGCTTTATTACAGTAGTCCACTTTAGACATTCCATTATCTGTAAGTAACTTTCCAACTACATGTCAACTAACTCGCATTAATTTGCAACTACATGTCAACTAACTCATTAGATCTGGGTTTTTTCTGGCGTAACTTCTGTAGCTTTAATGGATATATGTGTAGTATATTTTCTTCATATAGTAATGGGGGTATGGGGTGGGGGTTCATGGGGTTAGGGTTAGTACAATGAGCTGATGTGTACTTGTGTCTGTTGTGTGTTGGCTTATCATTAAAATACAGTGTTAGCAGATATTAAGAAGACAGCCTACTAATACTCTAATGACTGGTAGTTGACATGTAGTTGCAAAGTTACTTAAAGTTAGTAGAATATCTAAAGTGGACCAGGGGTGGTTTCTTCATTAGAGCGAATGTGCGAAAGGGAGGGATCACATTCAACCACAGTTGTCACTGTTCTAGACTGTTTGTTCTGCCTCTGGATATATAGTCCAATCATCGTCAAGTCACACTCTGCAATGCAATCTCTATAGCTGTGTCTGAAACCGCTCTATCAAACTTCTATCAAACAAAAAAAACAAACAAACAAAGGAGGGACACCATTGGTTGTTGATTGGATTGTGAAAAGTGAGCGTTGCATAGCAGAATGGAGGCAGATCTTAAAAGCTGTGTGGTCTTGCATATGCCAGCAGAGAAGAGAGCATGTCACAAGAAAAGCAAGTTAAGACAGTCTGATTTAAAGATTACAAATTCAATGAAAAAATGGATGAATGATTTGTTTATTGTAAGACCAGTGGTATGCATTAAGAGTATTTATGTAGTTTCAATTTTGTACTCATGCTGACTTTATGGAAAACTATCATGATGAAAATTTGAAAACCAACATTTTCATGCTGACAGGAGAGCTTACAATGCTCATCTCTTCTTTAATCTAAATGATTTGAGCTGCCTTGGAACATTGCAAGTTAATAAGCAGTGTGTTTTAGTCCACTTAACTTTGGGATGCTGTATACACAATGTAAATTTCAGTTACACAATTATTAATTCAATATACTTTACAAAACTACAGGTGAGGTGGCTTTGCTTAGCGTGTCAGATGCAGAAAGCACCAGAGCCTCCCCCTGCACAGCCTGAGCCACACGTTAAGGAAGTTTCACCACTTAAAATGGATACTCCCACTCTAGATGTTTCACAGAAGACACCACATCTTCCAGCAGATTCAGTTCACAAGGATAAGAAACTAGAAGTGGCAGGGAAACAAGTCAATAAGCAAACTTTAGCAGAAACTGAACAACCCACCCAAAGAGAAACAAAACAACATCATATTGCAGAATTTCCAAAGTCAGAATCTCAAAAAACTGATCCGCAACCAGAAAAACCTGGATTCTTTGGGTTCAGTTTTGGAGGAGCTAGATCTCGATCACCTTCTCCTCAGCATGCTGTCTCTGCTGTCTCAGAGAAGGTTCTAGGGTTTGGTTCTTCATTCTTAAGCTCAGCATCTAATCTAATCTCAACAGCTGTTCAAGATGAGTCTTCTATAACACCATCTAGTTCTCGCAAGGCTTCAACAGCTTCTCAAATGTCTGATAAGACACCACCAACATCTCGCAAAGGTTCTGGAGTTCCACAAATCTCCAATAAAGTTAATACCACTCCACCTTCCTCTCGTAAGGGTTCTACAGTTTCTCAGACATCTGTTAAAACAACTCCTCCAACCTCACAGAATGAGTCTGAAGCTACAGTAAACTCTAAAAACATTGAAAATACAGATGGGGCAAAAACTAAAGTTGCAGAGAAAGGAGTAGAAACCAATAAAGGAGCTACCCCACACCAACAACAACAAGGAAAGACCCAAGATGGACATGTTCCTATCTCCTCTGAAATCCCTGAAGAGTCTAGAGGTAGAGCTCAGTCTCCTTTACTTCCACCTGCAGCTTCTGCTGTCTCTGGGAAGGTTCTGGGATTTGGTTCCTCCCTCTTTAGCTCAGCAAGTAATCTGATCTCATCAGCTCTAGATGAGCCTTCTACAACACCGCCCACTTCTCTTAAAGGTTCCACATCTTCCCAACGATCTGCTAAAACTACAACCCCACCCTCTTCTCGTAAAAGCTCATCTGTTTCCCAGACTTCAGAGAAGATTACCACTCCACCTTCCTCACAAAAGGGCTCTGGAGTTTCTCAGATATCTCTCAAGACCAGCACGCCTCCTGCTTCCTCAAAAGGATCTGATGTCTCTCCTAAAATGCTTCCTTCAGATTACAAAAATGTACATGCTGAAAATATACAAGAACAGATAAAAAAAGATAAGAAATCCATGGTCAATCAGGCACAGCCAACAACTGTATCAGTTACAAAAGATACAGATCTACCGGAAACAAAAAGGACAGAGTCCACTAAATCATTTCCCAAAGCCTGCCCTCTCTGTAAAGTTGATTTGCAGAAGGATCCTCCCAATTACAATACCTGTACTGAGTGCAAAACCACTGTGTGTAATCTATGTGGCTTTAACCCCATGCCCCATGAGACAGAGGTAAGCAGCCTTTTTTTAGCTTGAACATAAAACACCTTATACTCATTATCATAATTATTATTTAATTAGAACTTTGGTAGTATCTGGGTATATGACATTATGAGCACCAATATTTATGACTTTAAGCATAAAAAATGCATTAAAATTATATTTTAAAAAATAATTCAATATTATGTATCCTCCTTGTAGTACTCTGTGAGCTTAATTTTAAAATGATTATTGGAATGCCGTTTCAGAAAAAGGAGTGGCTATGTCTGAACTGCCAGATGCAAAGAGCTCAAGCTGAGACTGATAAAGTACCTCCACCAGTATCACCACTAAAGAAAGCAACACCAACTCCTGTTCCTACACAGAAGAAGCCACTCGATTCCACAGATGCTACTGAAAAAGAAAAGACTGCATTATCCGCAGGTACAACACCAGGGTCTGGGAAGGCAAGTGCAGTTCCACCAACACAGAAGCTACCCCAGCAGCAAGACATAAAAAATTCAGTACAGCCAACACAGAAGGATGATACTGTATCCACAAAATCTAAAGCCCCACCAAAGATTGCATCCACAAAAGAAGAGAGTGGCTTGTTTGGTTTTGGACGCTCTAGATCACCTTCTCCCCAACCTGCTGCTTCCAGTGTTTCTGGAAAGGTCTTTGGATTTGGTTCTTCCCTGTTGAGTTCGGCTTCTAATCTTATCTCCACTGCTGTACAAGATGAATCCTCCACCACACTCCTTGCAACTCAGGAGGTTTCAGCAGCTTCTCAAACACATGTGATAACAACATTAACACCAACTACTTCTCAGAAAGGATCAGCCGATGTGTCACCAAATCAAGGAGCTAAATCTGTTGAAGAAGAGCAGAAAGACAAGAAACCTGAAGAGAAAATGACAGAAGTTCAGGAAAAAGTAGTAACAAAAAAGGGTGACCAGAAGTCAGAGCCCTCAAAGACTTGCCCTCTTTGTAAAGCAGAAATAATGAAGAATCCACCAAATTACAGCACTTGTACTACTTGCAAGAGCACTGTGTGTAATCTCTGTGGATTCAACCCAATGCCACATCAAACTAAGGTGAGAAAATAGTTAAATATACAGATTGTTTTTTGTTTTTTCAGTCACAATTATTGAAAATGTATTTCAGCAAGGTGATTTATTTATTATGAATGAACAAACAATAATCTCAAAATGAAACAATAGTGGTCTTTATTTCTCACAATTAGGGCTGCACGATTAATCAAAATCAAATCGCAAAGGCGATAAATCGCGATTAGGCAGAAGCTACGATTGTCTGGCATATCTTTCAGTAAAGCATGGTTCTGTGATCAGCAGTAAATCTCCATCCGAAGGCCAGAGGGTGCTCTCGCGCTGAAACTCCAAATACACCCCGCAGAAGAAATCCAGGAAATCTCTATAGCGGTTGCTGAATAAACAGAACATTTAACTGCTTTTATTGATTCAAAATGACTAATAAACACAACTACGACAATATATGGTTTATCTGAGTTTGTCTTATTATAATTTTTATTATAATAAAGGATTTAATAATGCAATGCTAATCGACATAGCCTTTATCACGGCTTAGAATACTATGAAATATGTTGCATGCCTTATGCTGTGTAAGAAGCCACATCATCTCACAGAAGGATTTACTGATTAAAGTGATTTTGGAGTAAAAACATGTTATTAAATGTGGTATTTTCACGTATTTACAGATGGAGCAGCATTTACTACACAGAGCCATAGCTCACTGACAAGCTATGCAAACAGCTTTCATAATCGCAGTACTATATCTTCGATTTCATAATCGCACGCTTATCATCTGCGATTATGAACGCGATTTTGCGTAGCTTGTCAGTGAACTACGGATCTGTGTAGTAAATGCTGCTCCATCTGAAAGCACGTGAAGGAGATTTACTACTGATTACAAAACCGGCTTTACTGACAAGATGCGAATGACAAACACATTTGATTAATCGTGCAGCCCTACTCACAATATTATGTGGTTACCTTTTTCAACAACCAGGTGAAGGAATGGCTGTGTCTGAACTGCCAGATGCAGAGAGCTCCCGAACCTCCAGTTGTGAAACCAGGAACTCAGACTACTAAATTACCTCCACCTGCATCACCAAAAAAACAAGACACTGTGGGTGTTGTAGCAGAGGATCAGAAACGTAATGCTTCAGGGAAACAAGGCGGCAAACCCAATCTTGCAGATTCCAAGCAAACTACATCAGATGCCCAAATCCATAAAAATGTCTTACCTGCCAAATCTGATCATCCGCCTAAATCTGAACCTTCTAAACAGGATTCAGATTTTTTCAGCTTAGGTTTTGGTGGTTCTCATTCAAGATCACCATCTCCTCACCCCACTGTGTCTGCTGTCTCTGGGAAGGTTCTAGGCTTCGGTTCCTCCTTCCTTAGCTCAGCATCCAATCTGATCTCCTCGGCTGTCCAGGATGAACCTTCTAAAACTCCACCAACATCTCGTAAAGGGTCTACAGTTTCCCAGACTTTGAATAAGACAACACCAACACCTCCCACTTCTCAAAAAGCATCAGTAGCTCCACAAGACACTAAACTAAATCTTCCTGCAGCAGAATCAAATCCAACCTATTCACCAACCCAAGAACAGAAAAAGCCACCAGATGCTCAATCATCCAAACCTATACAAACTCAAGTGAAAGAGGAGCATCCAAAAGTGTGCCCACTCTGTAAAGAGACCCTTAAGAAGGACACAAAAAACTATAGCTCTTGCACTTCTTGCAAAAGCATTGTTTGCAATCTCTGTGGATTCAGTCCACATCAAACTGAAGTAAGTCTGTGTTTTACAGTTCTCTTTAATAAAGTCTCTCGTTTTGCTACCAGAAATGATTCTGTACAGAATTTGTAATTTAAATGATAAGAGATGAGGTTACAATTATGGGTAAATAAGTTTGTATGGTCACAGGTGGTAATCTTTCTTATCTACAGGTGAAAGAGTGGCTGTGTTTGACCTGCCAAATGCAAAGAACTTCAGGTCCTCCCCCAGCTCAATCACAGTCTAACAAAGTACTTCCACCAGCATCTCCACGAAAGGAAGAGATTCCAGAGAAGAAGCCAAGTGTTATAGCTGAGCAGGAAAAGAAACCTCCTATAGAAACCAAAACACCAATACCACCAAATACTCAAATATCTAAAGGTGATGCTTCTCCTTCCATGTCTGCTCCACTACCTAAAGGGGAACAGATTAAAGAGGAGTCAGGTTTCTTTGGCTTTGGTTTCGGTGGTGCTCGATCCAGGTCTCCCTCTCCTCAAACGGCTGTCTCTGATAAGGTTTTTGGTTTTGGATCCTCTATCCTCAGCTCAGCATCTAACCTGATCTCTTCGGCTGTTCAGGAAGAATCCACCACCAAAACTCCACCACCATCTCGCAAGGGATCTACAGTTTCCCAGACTTTAAATAAGACCACACCAACACCACCCACTTCTCGAAAAGGATCAGTTGCTCCTCAGGATGCTAAACAAAAACCACCCGAAGGGGAATCAAAGACAGTTGTTACATCAATGCAAGAACCAAAGCCAGTACAGAAAACCCCAGATCCTAATCTGGCCAAACCTCCACATGCTCCAGAGGAGCTTCCAAAAATCTGTCCACTTTGCAAAGAAACCCTCAAGAAGGACCCACAGAACTACAGCTCTTGTAGTTCTTGTCAGAAAATTGTTTGTAATCTCTGTGGATTCAATCCCAATCCACATCAAACCGAGGTACCATATGTCAATGTCTTTAACATTTATATTTTTAAAGGCTCTATTGAAAATATAAAAAGGAATTATTTTGTGTAGGTTTTGAGTTTTAAAATAAAATGTTTAATGGTTTAATTTACTTTTTTAAAATAATCAACAGGTGAAGGAGTGGCTATGCTTGACCTGCCAGGTACAGAGAACCTCAGGACCTCTCCCTGCTCAGCCACAATCCAACAAAGTACCACCAGCATCTCTAGAAAAGAAAGCAACTCAAATTCTGCCTTCTTCAGAAAAGAAACAGAGTGTCCCTGCTGAGCAGGACAAGAAACCTCCAGCAGAGACTAAAAAACCTACAATTACTCCAACACCAAATGCTCAAAAGTCCACCGGTGAAGCTTCTACTTCCAAACCTACTCCATCATCTAAAGTTGAACAGACTAAGGAAGAGTCTAGTTTCTTTGGCTTTGGTTTTGGAGGTGCTCGATCCCGGTCACCTTCTCCTCAGTCTGCTGTCTCTGAGAAAGTTATGGGTTTTGGGTCATCCTTCCTTAGTTCAGCATCTAATCTGATATCCTCAGCCATTCAGGATGAGTCATCCACCAAAACCCCATCAAGTTCTCGCAAGGGATCCACTGTGTCCCAAAGTTCTATTAAGATGACACCGACACCAACACCACCTACCTCTCGAAAAGGTTCAGAAGCTTCACAACCCACACAAAAAATGAAACCACAAGAACAAGCCAAACTTATTACTGTACAGAGACAGGATGGAAAGAAAAAAGAGGGAAATAAACCACAGGATGAGATGACCAAAGAACCAGTCGTTGATGTGAAAATTAACAGACCAGCCCCGGAGCTTCCGAAAGCCTGTCCACTCTGTAAAGTGGACATAAAGAAGGATCCACCAAATTACAACACTTGCACTGAATGCAAGGACATGGTGTGCAATCTTTGTGGATTTAATCCCATGCCACATCAAACTGAGGTAAGAGTACTTAAGTTTTTAGGGAGATATATATCTGCGAGTTGCACATGCATCAGTTATTCCATTAATTCAGTGTAATTTCAAGAGCTTCTTTTAGTATTTTTATTCTAATTCCAATTATTATCCTACAGGTTAAGGAATGGCTGTGTTTGAACTGTCAGAGAAAGAAAGCTCAAATGTCTCCCTCTGCCCAACCACAGCCACAGGTTAGCAAAGTATCTCCACCAACAGTACCAGAAAACAAAGAGGCTCTCATACATACTCCAATTCCAATGTCTCCAAAAAATAAGCCAGATGTCATTAGGAAGATAAGCACATCAGTTGTTACAGAGAATCAAGAGAACAAACCTACACAAGCTACAACACAACAACCTGAAATGCCAAAACGTGATCCTTCACCTGCAAAATCATCTGTACAACAGAAACCAGAACCTTCTAAAGAGGAATCAGGATTATTTAGCTTTGGTTTTGGCGGTGTTCGATCTGGATCACCTCAGCCTTCAGTGACTGCTGTCTCAGGGAAGGTTCTAGGCTTTGGATCCTCCTTTTTGAACTCTGCATCTAATCTAATCTCCTCATCCGTTCAAGATGAGTCCTCCACAATGCCACCAACTTCTGGTAAGGCTTCCACAGCTTCTGAAATGTCTGCAAAGTCTACAACACCACTGACATCTCGCAAGGCATCTGTGGTTTCCCAAGCTTCAGTTAAGACTCCACCAACACCACCCGCTTCTAGGAAAGGATATGTTCCTTCTCAAAAAGTTCCACCTTCTGACACAAAAGCACATATAACAGACAAACCAAAGGAGGACAAAACAGATGAGAAGCATGTGCAACAGGCTTCAGCAGTACCTGAAGCTTCAGTAGTAGCAGTTGCAGCTCCTAAAGCATGTCCTCTTTGCAAAGTCTATCTTAATGTGGGTTCAAAGGACACTCCTAACTACAATGTCTGCACTGAGTGCAAGAACACTGTTTGTAACCTCTGTGGATTCAACACAACACCCCATCAAACAGAGGTAAGAGAATGCTACTATTCTGTTATATGTGTTGCTAACACTCTTTTAACACAGAAGATGCATTTACACTTATTTAAAATGCTTGATCGCTCCAGCGTAGTTTGGTGTAGTGGTCTCCATGCAAAATCAATATCATGTTAATGTTCCATCAATATCATGGATGAAACAATTCAAGGATTCCTTTTTAATCTCTCCATACAGGACAATGAATGGCTTTGTTTGAATTGCCAAACACAGCGAGCATTAAATGGAATGGAACCACAAGGACCTCCCAAAATAAATAACCATCAACAACCTGAAAATGTCTCCATCTCAGCACCACCTCCAAGAACAGAATGTATAACACCAGGGGCACCATCATTAGTGCCAACCATGGTTCCTGATCCTGAAACCCAAAAGAAAGAGATTCAAGCTGTGGCCATTCCTGATAAAACTAAGACTCCTGTTTCAGTGGATGCCCAAAAGAAAGAATCAGTCTCAGCTTCACCAAAACCACCAGAGACTAACATAAAGGCACAACCTGCATCCTCTCAGAAGAAAGAAACATCAGATTCAAAGAAAGATAAAACATCTGACACACTCTTAAAGGAGTCGGACAAGTCTCCAGAAAAATCTGCTCCAACTCCACAGGCAGAGCCACCAAAACAGGAATCCAGTTTCTTTGGTTTTGGATTTGGTGGTCCTAAGGTACAACCAGCTTCTTCTAAGCCATCCGAGTCAACCACTGGGAAACTCTTTGGCTTTGGTGGCTTGACAGAAACAGCTAGATCTCGATCACCATCACCACAGTCCGTTTCTGCTGTCTCTGGGAAAGTTCTAGGCTTTGGATCCTCTATATTTAGCTCAGCATCAAATTTAATCAGCTCAGCTGTTCAAGATGAAACTTCCACTACACCCCCAACTTCTCGAAAGGCATCCACAGTTTCCCAGACCTCTGCTAAGACTACTCCTCCCACATATCGTAAAGGATCTGCAGTGGCACTAGACTCTAGTAAGATAGGAGACCCCAAACCATATGCAGGACAAGATGCAGAGAAACCAGCGGAGAAGAAACCAGAAATCAAGCAAGTCACAGCCAAACCACCTCAGAAACCTGCTCCTGAAGAAGTCAAGACTAATTGTCCATTATGCAAAGTGGAACTCAATATTGGTTCCAAGGATGCTAAGAATTTTAACACATGCACAGAATGCAAGACAACAGTGTGCAGCCAATGTGGATTTAATCCAATGCCTAATCAAACAAAGGTAAGACATTTGACCTCTATTTTTAACATAAGATTTGTACCATGTACCATTCTTTTTTACTTTTACTCCATCATACAGTAGATAATTTACAGTAAGCCAATATAACTACAGAACAACAATGTCATTGGCATTCGGAAAAAAAACAACTAATTAAAGTAAATGTAACTATTTGTTGCATTTTATTAGACATTCCAAAAATGTTAAAGTCAAAAACAGGACATTTCCCCATGCAGTTTTAGTCTTCTATCAGTAAGCTCTAATTTAATTTAAAGTTTTATGTCTATGCTTACTTTAAATGCTGTTAAGTACAGCACATCTTTGACTTTTTGTCTGCTAATTTAGTTTTTAAAAACAATATTTAAGAGTGGCCATTTGTATTCATGCTGTCAATGTGGCAAGCCATTGCAATTCTCAAGACATATTCCGTAGAAGTGTCTTGAGGCAGTTATTTTGTGTAATTATGGAGTATACAAATAGGTTCAACAACAGTCTTTGACCCTCACCAGCTTTTCACTTACAGATTTGTAAAGTAAGGGTAAACAAATTGTTGCACAGACAATGCTAATGATGTGAATAAGTGATCATTTATTTAAATTTAGTTATACTAATGTACTGTATGTTCAAGCAGCAGTTTTTAGTAGTTATTAAGTTTATGTAGAAACCTAATATAAGACAGTAGATGATGTAATATCTTATTGCCAATGAATTATAATTATTGCAGGTTGAGGAATGGCTCTGCCTGAATTGCCAGGTACAACGGGCACAGGCAGGGATGAAAACAACTGAAAGTCCCACAGTGAAACCTCAGTCAATTCCCTTAGTTAAACACAACCAAACTCCATCCAAAGTTGACAAGGTATCTACAGCTCCAGTTGAAACCAAACTGGATGAGAAGCCTGCTGCAGCTGAAAAGAAAGCTGTCTCTCCTCAAGAAATAAAGAAAGAGATCTCAGCTCCAAGCTCTCAACAAAAGGCAGGTACTGATGCCAAGGCAACTGATACAATCACCCCAAGAAAAGAGCCTCCTAAGCAAAACAATACTCAACTAAATCCGGCGAAAGCTCTACAAGAGCCACCCACAGATACAACCATTCCTGTAAAATCTGCTCCACCTACCAAGATTGGACCCCAAAAACAGGAATCAAATTTTTTTGGTTTTGGATTAGGTGGTCCTAAAGCACAGCCTACTTCTTCTAAACCATCCGAGTCAACTACAGGAAAGTTCTTTGGTGGATTTGGTGGCCTGACAGAAACATCTAGATCTCGTTCACCATCCCCACAGTCAGTTTCTGCTGTCTCTGGGAAAGTTCTGGGTTTTGGATCCTCATTATTTAGCTCAGCGTCTAATCTGATCTCCTCAGCTGTTCAAGATGAGCCATCCACAACACCCCCAACTTCACGAAAAGGCTCCACAGTTTCTGTTGATTCAGGTAAATCTACCACAGCACCAGCTTCTCGCAAAGGCTCAGTGGCCTCTGCCAAGACTACACCACCAACATTGTGCAAAGGATCTTTTGCAACAGAATCCAACAAGGTACTTCCTGAAAAAGAGAACAAGCCACATGTTGAAAAGAAACCAGAGCAGCTCAATGAGAGCAAAGTATCAAGGACACCTACTTCAGAAAAGGATAAACCTGAAGCTGGACAGGATAAATTAGTAAAACATCCTGAAAGTGTACCTCAACCATTCACCTGCCCACTCTGCAAAGCGGATCTTAACATTGACTCAAAGGTCCCTCCTAATTACAACACCTGCACTGAATGTAAAAGCATTGTATGTCATCTCTGTGGATTCAACCCCATGCCTCAACTTGCTGAGGTGAGTCATTGACTGTTTCATTGTCTTAAGTATTTGTTTCTGAAGGTCTGGTTTTTACAGAAATAGTGTCAATTTCGTTATTCTTTTTAATATGTGTCTTTAGTACAGTGGTTCCCAACCCTGGTCCTGGAGGCACCCCGACACTGCACGTTTTGCATGTCTCCTTAATCAAACACACCTGATTCAGGTCATCAGCTCATTAGTAGAGACTTCAAGACCTGAAATTGGTGTGTCAGAGAAAGGAGACATGCAAAATGTGCAGTGTTGGGGTGCCTCCAGGACCAGGGTTGGGAACCACTGCTTTAGTACATAGTTAATAAATGTGTTGATTGCTAATTTAATTTGATTTTCTCACTAAACTCTAGTACTTTAGACTCTTTTTTGGGGAGTCACTACCCACAAGGCTCTTCTGACTGATATATTTCTTAGTCTTAGCTCTTATGTATTGATGACTAATGAGCCAATGTTCTTTGGAGTCACTTTTTGTGTGTCACTACCCAAAAGGCTCTTCTGACTGATATCTTTTTTTAGTCTTATCACTTATTTATTGATGACTAATGAGCCAATGTTCTTGGGAGCATGAGTCTGGCAGACAGAAAATCTGGAGTGGTGGGTTCTCCAATGTGCAGTTCATAACCCCTGTTATGCCCACTCATTCTCCAGATGGCTCTTTCCAAATCATTGTAATTTCACTAAAACTCCACAAGGGCTGAGGACACAGTAGAAGAGCCAATAAATGCATTAACATTCTGCAGGGAACAATGAGTGATTGGAATTCTTTCAGGTTTGTCCAATAACAGCCAGTGTAGACTGAGTCAACAAAACCCTGCTAAAAAATTAAGTGGCTTGTGAATTCAAAGCCTAGAAAATTAAAGTGGGCACTATACTGTGGTCCCTTTGGTGATTTAAAACTGCTAATAAATTAAACTGTTTGGGAATTCAAAGCATAAAAAAATGAAAGTGGGCAGTAGTGTTGCTGTGATGATTTAACTGCTGTTTGTATGCAAACAAGACAATTTAAAATTATGCATGCACTCTGCATTGCAAACTTTTATTTGGTGAGCTGCCCAGGCCTTGAGTAAACACTAAGCTTAGAGAGCAGAGGCGGTAATCTGCATGAGTGGTGTTTATGAGAGCGTAGCTTCCCGCTATAATGCTGAAACGTGCTGAGTGCTGACTCCAGGGGAAGAATCCCTGTGTTTGGACAAAATGTGTGGTTACGCAACAGGCTGATTAAAGCGAGCCACAACTTGCAGCGCACTGTTAAAGTGATCAAAGGTTTGAATATGGAGACGGGTGGTGTGCCTCATGATATCCTAATAAATGGAGGTGGTGATGAGGGTGGGGGCAGGGTGAGTTGTCAGATGTCTACCTTGTGCTTGTGGACTGATGGACTAAAGCTCCCATGCCATCTGCAGCATGTGCATGGCCGCTTCCACAGCATGTCAGCCGTCCATCATTTATGCTAATGTGACTTCCTGTGCTTGTTACCCCAACAAGCTGTTCATTGCTTTCATCAGAGCTGTGATTGCAGAAGTAATTTAATGAGAAAACTGTTTGATTTATGGATTGGTGGATTATTATAGCACACTGAAGGAAATGGTATGAGAATAAGACATGTTACAGTATTTAATATTCTGTAATGCTCATCTGTTCTGTGTCCAGCTGCAGTTGTTCTCTCAGTGTTGCACTGCAAATCATATACGAGCGTAGCATCGCTGATGTTTTTTTTGGGAATTACAGTTCTGAAACACTTGCGTATTTTTAAGATTTCAGTTATTTAGGAAGTGTAAATGCATTGGGCTTCGGTGGGCTAATGTTTGGAGATTTAAATTTAGAATTATTCAGTAAATACCTGAGTTAACCTGGTAAAATATGCTCCTATGCTGCCTTTACTCTGACAAACTATAGGAGCTCTGTTTTGACAATCAGCTTGCATTCCATTTTCTGCCTGCTGTGCATGCTAATGAACAATCGCATGTGATCCACTGTTTCCTGAAATTGTGAATCTGTGCAAATATGTTTATGCCACATCATTGTCATCAGTATATTTGCAGCTGAAATGCACCATGTGTGCAGTGTAGAAACAGCTGTAGATGGGCAAATTTAACTATGATATAATCAACTTTGTTGGGGTGTTCTGTACACCCGTGTCCTCTGCAGATCCAGTTAAAGGATAAAAGGATAAAATGTAATCATTTGATGTCAGCTTATGGAAAAAGTATCCACTATTATGTGGACATTTTATCAAATGGTGCATATTTGCAGTTTCTATATAGTTTGAAAGTTAGTGGTTTATAAACAGGCTTTTTACTGTACTAGATTTGTTGTCCCTTTTTTATTCAGTCCTTCTTCCCATGGGGTCACACTGTCTAGAACATCTTCTTTTTATATTAAAAAAAAGTATTTGCAGAAGATGGCCCACTTAGAAACAGACAGCCTTGCATTTTTCAGTGCTGAATCATATTTGCCACTGCATTGTCATCCTGCCCTTTTGGATATGACACAGTCAGTCTCTTGTAATTTGACCTTAACATGAGCCTTTAACTTTGGCCTCTACAATCCTGCACCTTCACACAAGAAAACAGATCGTGTGCTTCTGATGTTAATTGAAAAATACAGTGTATGCCCAAACAACCTTTTGAATGACAATGCACATTCACATATATGTCATTCGTAAAGCTGTAGGCATTCAAACGCTGATGCATGATATTAAGATATTTAGTGATATGCCGTGTCCACATCTGCCACACTGTTGGATAAAAATAGCGTTAGATTTTAATCTACCTCAGCTAGCATTGTGACAGCGGCTCCATGAATGCTGTCGCTAGACCCAAGGGGACTTGTGTATGTTTGGATGCCATCTAACAGCCTATGCTGATGTCTTTCTTTTTGCAATTATGAAAAACTAAAAATAAAGACTTTTAGGGTGACAAGTTTAGGATGATAATCTATAATACATTGTCATACATTTTAAAGGGGTCATATCATACCTATTTATCATGTTTTATTTTATATATATATATATATATATATAAATATATATATATTTACATTTTATCAGTACAAGTCCACTTAAAATGAAAGTCAAGGTTTCTTGCTCCAAAAATGTTTGTGATATTTAGGTTTACATTACCATTTCCACCTTAGTGCAGTAATGACCTGAGCTAGACAAGCAACTGCCATTGAGATGAGTGAGACTGCTAATCGATAGCTAGGTTTTAGAGATCTTATTTTTGTTTTCTGATTTTCTTTAGTGCTGCTTTATTGCAATAGATGATCTGTTTGTACTTGAGATTAAGCTTTCAGTTCCTTCCAGTTGTTTACATAGCTACTGTATATGAAACTCTTATTGCAAAAGAGAAATTCAATTTCACGTGATATGACTCCTTTAAAGAACAGAGCGTTCTGTTTGGTCTTATAAGCAGTAATTGACGGAGCAGCAGTGATTACTGTCTGCTGGGCTTCCTCATTGTTCCTCTGGTGGTAATACACTGGTGGCCAGCTGTGCCCAAGAGAGTTGTGTATGCTCTCGATGGGATCGAGTTTTCTATGTCATGTCATTAACACAGAACAATGCTCTGGTGGTTTACACAACATGGCCATTGTCACTATGCGCGCAGTATCTTTCTTTCTCTTTTTCTCCTTTTAGTCTTGTGTGTGCGCACTTGTGGTTTGTGCCCTGGATGCTTTATGCACAGTAATATGATCATCCCAGTGCTTGGAAAATTGTTCAAGGTGTGTTCTGCTTGCTAATAAATTATGTTTATTATACTGAGACTCTGAGAGGCACGTAAAAACCGCTAGACTAATTTAATGCCATTAACTAACTTGTATCATATAACCTGACCTGCATGGGGCTACAGTCAATCTTTTTATGGGGCCAACTTAGCATCAAAGGTGTGTAGGCATATATTATATCTGTTAGGCATCTTAATGTTCCTCTGCTGCTTTTTCTGCCTGTTGGTCTGTACCTAAATGTACAGTAGCTAAATCATTGGGAAATTTGGCACATTGATTGAAGAGTGTCTTGTTTTTCCTTATAGCAGCATTCTTCCACCTACAGTTAAAAGTTTTAGATACACTATTGGTCAAAAGTTTAGTGTCAGTTTAGTTTAGTATTTTGGTAAAGAAATTAATACTTTCATACAGCAAGAATGGATTAAATTGATTAAAAGTGACAGTAAAACATTTATAATGTTACAAAAGATTTTTGTTTCAAATAAATGCTTTTCTTTTGAACTCTATATTCAACAAAAAATTCTGAAAAAAAAGTATAATGGTTGCCACAAAAATATTAAGCATAGATAATAAACAGATAATAATTAGAAATGTTTCTTGAGCACCAATTCATCATATTAGAATGATTTCTTAAGGATCATGTGACACTGAGGATTGGAGTAATGGCTGTTGAATCACAGGAATAAATTCAATTTTGAAATGTATTAAAATTGAAAATTAAATGTAAAATTATTTTACAATTACTTTTACAGCATTTTTTGATTAAACAATGCTTGGTGAGCATTAGAGACTTCTTTCAAAAATATAAAAAAAATCTGCAGGAGCCCAAACTTTTGAATGGAAGTATACATTTTAGATTATAACTTTTTAACCAAATGTCATAGTTTAATTTTTAATTCCATGTATCACAAGAACTGGTGATTTCAATTTATTCCTAACAGATATATCATTTTTAATTTTGTCAAGCACATTTTTAACCTCATCTAACAGTTTTCATTGGATCCCTACTTTTTGTATGTATGTACTGATTTATTTTGATATACCAAACAATTTGCGTAACTTGTTTCAGAAAATGCATTTTCTGTCAAAGACCAGGGGCTACTATGACTACCAGTGTTTCAGGGTCAACCATATACCAACTAATTTAAACCAATTAGCATACTGTTGTTGTTGTTTTCTTTACCACGAACAACATTTGTTCAATCTTCAACATACAGTAACTGGCTCAGATTGACTGTAGCTTTGCTACAAAGTTAATAGTGAGGATATTGAAACAAAAGATTTTGTATGGAAAATAAGCCTTGTAATTGCCATGAACACTTTGCTTTAGGTCAAAAGCATTAATGCAATAATGAATCTGCTTCTAGCCTTTGAACCAGTTGTTTTCAAAACACTATTTGTCAGCGGCTGTCATGACTACACAAATCTGTGCAGCCTTACAAGGTATAGTCCAATAGAAATAGAAATAGAAATAGATGATGAGATGTAAGTCTGTTGCTTTCATTTCTTTCTACAAAAAATATTGGAATAATTTTAGAACGATTCTGCAGCAAGCACAATTTTCAGGAATTACACTGCAACAAATCTAATTTAATTCTCCTAATCTTTGACCTACACAGTCTTAATGACATTTATAGGTTGCACACACCCAAACGCATGAGATTGGCTCTGTCGCAAATGCTGCAGGAATCACAGACAGCTGCAGGAAGAGATATTTCATATTCTCGAATCAAACGGCAACTGTCAAAAAGGAGAGCTGCCCTGGAGGAGACGGTGGGTGTATAAATAGTCTGAGGCGAGACTAGAGAGATGCACCTTACTTTTTTTCCCTTCTCACAAGCTGCTTTTAAAGCAATGAGCTCTCTAGATGCTCCTACAGCGTGTCTGTGCATGTTTGGCTCTTTATATGAGAGCAGTCAAAAGAACATCACTAAGGCACAAACAGAGAGCATTTTGAAGCACTGACCATGGTTTGGTCATTTATAAAGAAAATTGGAAATATTTAATCTTTCATCTTTTGTCTTTCAACCTGCACCCAAGATAAATTGCATGTCTTCAATTATACATTTTGCTGATGCACGCAAGAATAAATAGAGGATATTGTTTTTGAAAAGCCTTCTCTACACCTCTCTGTTTATCTGTTTTCTGTCACACCGGTGTGCGGCATGGTTTGGCTCTCTGCCTTCAGTGCCGAGCACTCTGCTTATTACAAATTAGTAGGTCAAGATTCTCTATTATCATTGGGCCTGATTTATTGGGACGGTACCGCTGCGGGGTGGTTGAAAGCTCACTATATTAGCCAGTTACAACCATTGCCAAAGGCAGCTTCCAGGAATCAATACAGTGTCAGACACAGCTCTGCAATGCTGTGGTCCCGTGGAGGAATAGCACTTCTAATATATAACTTTGGCTATAAATTAATCTTACTTCTCAAATGCAAATCTGTTCCCGCTTTGTAGTACAGACAGGCTGACAAAATACAACAAACTTTATTTCACCTGGAATGTGCTGTGATATGTTTAGAATATTATGCAAACTTGTGGCATGTTGCTACAAAATGCAAATGCAATATATGTGGGCTCTTTGAAAGAGCTGCAACTTGGAACACTGTTTAGTATGCATTCATTTACAGAGCTTTAGGGAGCAAGCTTTTGCAGCAATGAGTATTGAATACAAAGTGTTATTATCCTAATGGCTTTTGGCATTGCAGATTGTGCTACCCTTAGAAGATGAATGGAATAGCTATAACTTAAGGAGCTCTTAAGGAAAAGTGCAATTGTCTAAATGGCTAGAGAGGAACTGGTTGCAGTGAGTATAGCTTTCAGATATTGAAAAGATGTAACTTATATAGCTATGCCATTCGCTATTACTCCAAGTCATCCTGGCTGGTTGAAGTTTAACAGATTTAACAGATTAGAGCTTGGTAAAAGGTCAGATATCTCCTTCAGTAGAGTGCCTTATTGACGGAGCTGTAAGGCTTGATGAGTCTTATCATCAGAGAGCTGGTATGTTTTTCTCTGGGGTTAATTGCTGAGAACAAAGGCACATGTGAGGCCTGTCTCCAGGCCTGCTGGTCCTTGCTGGTTGTCTGTAATTAAAGAGGACTTTGTATGGCGTTCAGCCAGGCCTGGCTGGTTCAGAACCAGCTGCGGCGGGCACAGAGATGCATTTGCAATTGCAACAGGAAGGAACAACTAATAATACTACTCACGGTCACCGTGCTAGGATGGTAACAACTCAACATAAAATTAGAGTTAAGTATAGACAAGAACATTGGAAATATAATGCAGCAGTAAACTTCAGTATACATAAGTATCTCTCACTTAGAGAACCATTGATGTCAGATGTTCAAGTGCTTTTTTCTGTTTATTTTTTATATTGTGTTTGTATTTTTACTGGATTTATTAAGTACATACTAAATATAATAAATATTAATGACTAGTCATCACAAACAACTGAAAAAATCATGAAAAAAATTACGGAAGTTCTGAAAAAGGTACTTTCAAACATACAAAAAGAAACTCTTTGTCAGTCAAACAGTACTCAAGTACTGAATTAACTATGAATGTGATGCTGTTGGACAACTACATTTTTGTAACTTTTTTTAAATTGTAAGATTGAGTTTGTATCAGTGTAGTAGTATTTTTGGCATTCATATTCCATAGTAATTGGCAGGAATGGCAAAACAAGTGCAACCAGCCATAATAACACTGTTGAAGTGGGAAGCTATGATGTTGGGTAATTTTGCATGATCTTCCACTGCTGTGTAGAATGAAAAAAGGTCATAGTAAAACATAGTGCAGAATTTATTGTTCTCATTCTTATGTTGGATGGATTTTGTTTGCTATGTGCTCTAACGTTGGTCAGAATGTGCTCAAAATTGAGGTGTTCATGCTTTTTTTCCCTATTAAACATTATTTCCTTGTCAATTAGAGACAGATGGCTTCTGTTTCTTGCAGTATTTCCATAGTGTCAGATGTGAAACTAACAAATATGCAGTATAAGCCCATTTCCTAGAGAAGTGTAAATCACCCACAAATGAATAATATATGTATCACAAATTAATCATATCTTCGTCATTCAAGGACGCTGACATTGACATTTCTTCCCAAATGCTTGAGCAGGCATAATTGATCTTAGAGAGTGGTATCTCTCCTTGACTGCTCTTTGTAGAATAAATGTAATCACCATGACATGTAGTTAGATTGATCTGAAAAGCATACTTCTGCTGTTGCCCTTTTCTCTTTTCTCTACTGCAATAAAAAGCAGACAAAGTAAAGTTGAGGAAGCATTTAGATAATGTAGAGGAATAATTTTATAAATGACTAAAGATACTCTGCAAGTTTGGATACTGAATGTTAGCAAAATATTCTTAAAATGTAAAACTGTCATATTCTGACACTATTGGAATCACCATATTCTGTTAATACAGGTTGCATAGCTATTTATTCTGCAAAAATAAAACAATTAAATTCTGTGTGCTGTTTAGATTTATGTGAATTCCAAAATATCCTAATTATTCATTAATTTTTCAAGACATATTAATGTAGTTCAGGCAACACACAGGCTAATTAATTTTGAAAATATGCAGTTTTGCGCATCCTTGTTTAGCACCTTGATTAAGCACTTTTTGGATATTTTCCTGTTTGTAGCAGCCACAATTCAGTCTTTCTGTTTTTGTGGTTTTATATGTGTGCTGTGATCACTCTACATTGCCTGTATACACAGTACTGACAAGCAGCAGTGATGAGGACATTCTTTCACAAAGTCGTACATGCTGGAAAAGATGATTGGTTCCTGTTAATTAATCTTCTGATTGGTCTCCCTGCTCTGATGGGCCTGTGCATTGAATTAGTCTTCTTCTGATTTGCATATGTATAAGCCAGTCAAGTTTCCAATTACAGGTGATGATTGCACCTTTTACTAAAACCATAGCCAGTGTTGAAATGAGCATGTTCTCATTTCTTTTTGCAACCATGAGCATTTCTGTTCATGTTATGCCTGTGTCTGTGAGTTAATTTATCTCACTCTAATAGGGAAATTTGCATATCTAGTTTATGGTAAGCTAGTAGTTATCTATTACTGTATTGACCCGAATGTAAGACGATGTTTTTTTCTTGGAAATACATCTGAAAAAACGAGGTCATCTTATATTCAGGGTCTAGACTTTGACATGTCAATAATACACCCACAACAATAGGTGGCAATGGGATGCCTGTATTTCTGAGATATTTTATTAATATTATTTATATAAATAATGATTTGCAATATATTTATCAAATCTCATTGTATGTCTTTTTTTGCAGGCTGAGTGGTTGTGTTTGATTTGTCAAACACAGAGAGCTCTAGCTGGGCAGCTGGGAGACATGGGAAAAATACCCATACCCAGCCCAGTATCCATAAAAGACAAGCCTACAGTCACACCCAAAACACAGCTGTCCGAGACTTCTGCACAGACACTTATTCCAAAATCTGAGCCAAAACAGTCACCTGCAAAGCAGGCAGAGGAGGAGAAAACCATCCCTACAATTGTTGCAAAGGCAGTGGTGACTGTTCCAGTGTTCCCTGCACCTCTCCCTGTTGTTCCTACCACAGATATGCTGCAGACAGAGATGACAGCTGTGGTGGCACCAGTACCAGCTGCAGAGACTCAGAAAGCTGTTATTGCTGCTGCTGAGGTCACTTTAAAAGAAACAGGCAAAGACAAAGTCCCTGATGAGACACAAGTAGAGAGAGAACCGATGTCTATGCTTCCAGCAGTGTCAACTGAGGCAGATGAAGTAAAGGTATATTATTACATATACATTATTGAGCAATGCAATAAGTTTTTTATTCTATTATTCAAACATACGTTTAATATTATTTTATTGTATTATATTAAAAATAATTGTTAGGCATGAATAGGAGGCAGGCATGTTTTAAGAAAACAGCTACAATAGTAACTTCTTGTATTTGCCATTTTTTCTTTCTTCATTTTCCGCAGGTTAAAGAGGATACATACACTCAAACTGCAATAGAAGGACAACAAAAAGATGTTGTGGTACAGATAGATAGCAGTCTTCCAGAAATTTCTAAAGTAGACACCTTAAAAGCAGATATTAAAGAGCAACATAGAAAGGACATCTTGCCGGTATCAGTAGAATCATACAGCTCGGCTGAGGAGGAGCTTAAGGAGATACAGAGAGTCAGTGAAATGACCATAATAGATACTACTACAAAACTGTTGCCTGTCAGAGCATCAGACAGTGTAAAACAATACCATGAGGACAGCAGTGAGAGTGAACCCTCCCCTCAGATACAGAGAAGAAGAGTGAGGCCTGCTTCCTCCAGCAGTGAGGACTACAAACTAGACAGTTCAAATTCTGTAGATGACGAAGAGTTCATAAGAAGACAACTTATGCACATGGGTGAAGAGGAGAGCTTACCTTCTGATGGGGAAAAACACAGAGAAGAAGAACAAACACAGCAAGAAACCAGAGAAGTCGAAAAATCTGATGATTCCATGAAGCCTAAATATGCCCTAAAGAAACTTACTGTAGAGCCTGAGGAAATTTCTGATATCAGTCTGTCTTCTCATGACCAAGATGATCAAGTTGCCCGAGCCATCCCTGTCTCGGAAGCATTAGAAGAAATCAGAGTGGAAATATATGTGTCAAATGACAATGAAAAGATCATAGCTACTGACACCACAGCCATTACACAAAAAACTCCTGTTAGACAGACCACAGAGGAACATGAGAATCTGATTGAAGACTCATCCAAGGGTGATGGGTCGTCCAGTGTTCAGGTGTCTAGCATCACGCCAGGAACAGCTTCGTCTACTTCTGTATCCTCTATTGATGAAGACAGTGATAGTAGCCCAAGTCATAAAAAGGCAAGAGCGGAGGGTAAACAGCAAAGAAAGGCAAAACACAGACCTCATGGCCAGGCCCTTGCCACTATAGAGGACTCGTCTGAGGAGGATGAGTTACGTGAGGAGGGTAAACGGATGGATCAGGAAGATGAAAGAGATGATCAGCAGAAGTTAAGAAAGGTCACAAAAAAATTAAAGGCAGAAAGAGATGATCTGGGCATGCAAAGGAGACGTCATAATTTGGTTAAAACTGATAAATTAAGGAAGGCAGCAGGGATGGAGGAACAGAAGTCATCCTCCTTCTCTGACTTTTCTCCTAGTTTTGAATCTGAACCAGATAATGCAGAATACAGAACATTATCATCTGAAGCACATGATGCTGCAGATAAGCCATTAAAGAGTGCTGAAGAGGTATATGAGGAAATGATGCAGAAAGCACAGGAATACAAAACATCAGAGAAATTCACACCACCCGATATTGAACCATTATATGGAGGCATGTTAATAGAGGACTATGCTTATGAAACTTTAGTTGAACAACCAGAACAGGCTGCAACAGCTCTTGGTAAAGTCACCCATGAGCAAGATTTGAGAAAGTTGTCTGAACATGAGTCAGTGAGGATACTTATGACACCAGATGAGGCTTATGAGGAGATGATGCATAAAAGGAGCAAGATCATGCAAAAAGACGAGGTGGCTCAGCAAACACATGCAACAAAGATCGACAAATCCTTGCCACTTGATGTCAGTGACACTTGTTATGTGACTATTTCTGGAAATTATGCACTTACTACAGATAAAAATGCAAAGCCACTGTTGCAAACAGAGGATGCCTATGAAGAGCAACTGAAGACACAAAAAGATGTTTTAACACCGGGAACAAGTCCGACACAGTCAACTCCTGTGTCTCCTGCCTCCCCTCTAACTGTGTCTGAGTCATCATATGATTCCCCCGAGGTGATTCTCATCCCTTCAAGTGGGGAAGAAGACAACCTAGCTGAACCTATAGAATGCATTTTGGAGCCTTATATTACAGAGTCCACATCTACTCAGAATGTATTTGGGAATAAAGCTTTATATCCAATTCCTGACTTAAAGATCACTCAGTGCTCCTCTGGTGAAGAGGAAGTTGAAGAGGAGTACAGTGTCACACAAGAAAAAATGTCATCTGAGCCAACTGATATCCCTCAAAGTGAAGAGGAACCACAAGCCCCAGAAGAATCATTTGAGACTGTTCCCATTTCTGTAATCTGTGAAGTTCCCTCATCAAAACATGTTGTGGAGACAACAGCAATATCACCACTGTCTCCACCAACATCTTCAGCAGTCTCATCCCCAGATTCAAATTTAGAACTAACAACAGCACCATCATCCTCTCCGGTTTCTGACCAGGCATCTGAATTAACTACTCCAGCTAGCCCCAGTGTTGCTGAAGTTTCTGCCCCAGTTGTAATTCACATGCCAGACTTGGTGTCTGAGCAAGCCACAACACACCCATCAGCAAGTGCTCCTGTTGCATCTTCCACACGGATTATTGTATCCTCTTCACCGGTCACTCCAGCCTCACCACATGTCTCAGAAAATGCTAGCACTCCGACTCCTTCTGAAATTCTTGTTTCAAAGCCAACACCAGGTCCAAAACCAACTCCTGCACCAAAACCAACAGTTATACCAAAACCTACACAGGAAACAGTCCCTACTCCAGATAGTCTTTCATCCTTTACACTGGATTCAGCTTGTCAATATTTAGCTCAGAAACCTTTGGCCGGTGCAATACATGAATCACTTTCAGCTGCTAAATCACCCTCTACAGACAAACAAGCTGTTGTACAAATAATTGCTCCAAAAGAAGACTATGTAAAAACTCATACTACTACTGTTGCTACACCCATTGTTCAGTCTCAAAAAGGACCTTTAACACAAACTTCTGTTGTTGTTCAAATGCCCGATCTTGTGTCCCCTGCATTAGACCATCCAGTTCTAGAACAAACTCCAGTTTCAGCACCTAACCTGCCATCCACTGCACTCAGGAATCAGATTCCTACAACTAACACCATTGTTGCCCAAATACCAGACCTGGTTACATCTCCATCTCAATCAATCTCTGTGACTTTTCCAATACCTTCTCTAACCTATGCCCCACTTCCAGCTACAGTTTCAGCAGTGGATCAAGCACCTATTGCTGTTCCAACAATGGTATCAGACTCAATACCAGCAAAGGTTCTCTCTGCAGACCAGACCAGCTCAGCTGTTGAACAAGTGGCCACACCACCATCTGCTCAATCCAGTATTCCTGCTTCAGCAAAAGAGACTCAGCCACCAACCAGTATTTCTATTCAAATTCCTATTCAGAGGTCAGAAGAAACCAGATCATACATGGCAGCCCAGTTAGGCCAGGCAGCCGCTATTTCACCTCCAGCAGGTCATAGAGAGCATATTGCTGCAAAGACAGTCTCTGTTGTTTCTCCCACTGTTACTACAACTGTTGCTTTTGGAACTTCACCCTCCCAACCAGTTCAATCAAGGCTGACCAATATTCAGCCAAGAATGGTGGAAATGCAGATGGAAAATATACCAGATGATGGAATTTCTCCACAACAGTCAGTTTCACAAATAATTTCTCCTGTCGTGCAGACAGAGAGAGGCCAGCCTGTTATTGTTAGTGTTTCTCCTTTTACATATCCAGCCACAATGTCAAGATTCATCACTGATTCAACAGTCCCACCTTGTGTGACATCTGCAAAACCCCATGTTTCTCAAGAAAGAATAGATAAACCAGTGATTTCATTTCCACCACCTCCTCAAGCTTCACCACCAGATTTGCCATATAGCGCAGTACCCAAGGCTGATTTTAACCAGCAAATGACTATTCCAACTCCCTCATCAGTTACAGCAACTCTACCTGAACCCCCACCAAATGTGGCCAGCGTAAATATAAAACCAGCTGTGACCCCAACACACAAATCACCACCCCCTGTTCCCCCCAAACCTGTATGTATTCCACCAGGACTGGTATTTAGTCACAGATCAAGAGAGAGCGTTAAGCCACCAGTTAGCCCCGAGCCAGTAGTTGTTCAAGCAGTTCATGCTGCAACTTTGCCAAGAACAAGGGAACCTCCAAATGCATTGTCACTAAGTTTGGCTGCCCCTGTAGAGACCAAGCACAGTGCTTCATCACCAAAATCACCTTTGTCACCCAGATTTGCTAGAACTCTTGAAACATATGTGGTGATAACATTGCCCTCAGAACCAGGATCTCCTGTCGAGGGCATTACAACTCAAGCACCGATGAGAAGATCATCACTGCCAACTCCCAGACAGCAGGTTCCATCTGATGCTCCAAGAGTGTTTTCTCCAGCTTCAGTGGATGCACCTGTGTCATTAATTTCAGCACAAATTGTAGCAGCCCCACCAAAGCCTACCTCAGCTTTAAATACAGCAGCACCCCTTGAGGTGATGGCACCTGACTTTGCTTCAGACATAACAGAGACTCATCATATCACACTAGCTGCAGTTCCAAGACAAAGTATTACGGAACCTTGTGTAATGGTCCCAGAGCTGCCAGTTGCTTCTGTACAAACATTTGTTTCACCACCTCTTGTAATGGCATCATCAGGAGTAGCACGATCTATGACTGTTGTTCCTCATATCACAATGGAGAATACAATGAATTGCCTATCTGCAATTATAACCCCACATGATACAGCACCAGTTGTAATGGCACCTACTGTTTTGATTTCAGCAGCACCTGTTGCAGCAGCAGCAGCACCACCACCACCACCGCCCATTGCTATGGAACCAACAGCATATCCAGCAATGATGTACCCCACACCTTCCTTTATTTATCCTCTTCCCACAGCTCCAGTCTCAGTGGTGCATACATCAAAACCATCAGAGGAGGTACCGGTAGCCTTAGCTCCACTGTCAGGAGTTTATGCTGATTCTGTTCCTCACAATACAGTAAGTGATGTGCAACAAGAACTTGAAATGCAACAAATGCAAACAACATATTCTGCTCCAATAACAATAACCCAGATTCCAATCCCAGCTCAAAATGAAGACATTCCTGGTTTGGATATGGAAGAAGTACTAATAGTCTCAGCTTCTGAAGAGGCCTTAACTGAACTGGGTCCATCACCAGTACCAATAACACGGCTTCAAGGCCACCAAGCAGTTTATGAGCAAAAAAAAGAAATTCCAGCAGTGACCTCTGCAACAACTGTGCCACCAGTACCAGTCACATTTACACAATTTACAGAATCTATTGAGAGTCAAGAAGTTTGTGGACAAGATAAAGTTATATCAAGCATGAGCCAAGTCTACTCTGCAATCTCAACAACTGAGCAGCATCCTGATGCATTGCCTAATCTTGTAACCCAAGTTGTCAAGACTGAAGTACAAAGAACAACAACTGTGTCAGTTGTCCAGGAGAGGATTCCTGTCGAACCCATACCTGAACCTGTGGGGGCTACAGTCACAATCCAGCCAGAAATCCATCCAAAGCCTAAACAGAATGGAAGAATACACTACCCTAGTGACGTTATAGATCTTACCACATTTAAAGTCAATGTTACAATGACTGACCAAGGAATGGATCTGACTGCCCCAGATGCAAGTAGGTCTTCCTTGTCAAGTGAATCAAGTGTGCGACAGGCCACTGCTGTACAGCCTGAAATTGTGAATCTTAGTGCTGAAATAATCCCCACTACAACACTCTCTGTTGTAACTGACAGCATAACAATTGTCACTTGCACAGCTACAATTGCCTACAACAACAACACAGTTGACAAGCCTCTGGACCTGGGAAATGCTACTTCAGTGCCTCTTCCACTTACCACATATAATCCATTTGAGCCACTTGCACAGATAGTGTACAGGCCTGTGAATTTGCAACCGAAGCCTACAACCAGTGCAGAGATTCCTGTTAACCTTTCATACAGAGCTGTTGCAACCACGGCTCCTACTCTTATGCCTGTAACTATAGCCCCGGTGAGCTTCACAAATGGCACTGCTGGTATACCAATACATATAAAGCCATTGGCAGTTGGACCTGTAGACCTCACCAGGTCTAAGCCAATGAAAACCATGGTTGCTTTGTCCTCATCCTCTGGAGTGGTCACAACTGTTTTGGAAGATGATGGTACACCAGTTGATCTAACATCTGGAAGACGGACTGCTTGCTGCGATGTAATTTACAGGATTCCTTTCACAGGGAGCTGCAGAACACAACCTCCTGTGACCACACAGCCAGACAATCAAATTGGCTATCAAATTGATATTGCCACAACACCTGTCATTGAAGATCTTAGTACCATGAAGGCTTTGATAACCGACAGTGATTTTGCAGAGGCTGGACTCTTTGGTTATGAAAGAAAGAATGGATTCTCATATCAGAATGGGGCATCTGAGGGGGCTATTGATTTGACATCAGCTAAAATGTCAACAGGTCAGTATGACTGTGCACATGTGTCCTTAATTTATTTGTTTTTTTATTTGTATGTTAATGTTGAGAAATGTATTATTTATTGGTTATGTCTCTTATTTTTGTGATGTTCACACTGAATGTCTTAATTTTCATTCTTGTCTTTTTCTGTTCTTTTTTTTTAAACACAGATGCATGCATTTGCCTCCGTGTTGTCCCTCAGTGTTTTGGCTTTGCATCCTGCTAATCTGATGACACTGACAAGATCTTTGCATGCTCTTTGGCTTCCATTTCATGTTCATTTGTTGCATGAAACTGAGCAAGTGTTCATTTAGATGCTGATGATGCTGCTATTTTTGTTTCCCTAACATAACAGAAGAAGCCTTAGACTACTCAAAGAAAGGCACTTTGGCATTAACTGGGATCACCACTACTCCATATTCTCAAGGAACTTCGTTTGGCATTGATAGTTTACTAAGATCGACAAATGGCATCGTTTACTCATCTGTTGCTGCACCCGTTCCCTCCACATATGCAATTACCACGCAACCAGGTTCAATATTCAGCACAACATACAATAGTCTCACCAATTCTATGGAGCCATTTTCAGCACTTCAAAATCAGTCTGCTCCATGTAGCTTTGTACACACCACAGCCACAGACCAATCAATATTCCCGCATCCTGATATATCAAAGGATATCCTACCTTCTGCATTAGCCAGTCTCCTTCCCTCCCTGACAGCCTTCCCTGAGCTCTACTCTGATGCTACTCTTGAGGTAATAGCAGCCTCACTGGACATGCTGGTATCCCCGAATTTCCCTGATTTAGATGACAGCAAGAGCCAACAGTACAAGGCTGAACATGAGTTCTTACAATTGGAGAAATTGAAACAGCTGTGTCTAGCGGAAGAACTTGAATGGGAGAGGCAAGAGATACAGCGTTACCGTGAGCAAGAGCAGATCATTGTTCAGAAGGAGCTGGAGGAGCTTCAAAACATGAAGCAGCAACTTCTAATGCAGCAAGAAGAGGAATGCAAAGCCCATCTGATTCTTCAGCAAGAAACATTTGCACAGCAGCAACTTCAGTTTGAGCAAATCCATCGATTACAGCAGCAACTCCAGCAACAACTAGAAGAGCAAAAGATATACCCATATGGGTTTGGGCCAAGTGAGGGTATGTCCCCACCCTTGAGCTCAGACATCATACTTGACTCAAAATATTCTAGGGGAGATAATGGACAGTACTGGCCAGTGAAGGATGACAATTCAGTGTCATCTGCAGTGTCCACCCATGACTCCACATCAGGTCAAAACTGGCTAACAACAACTTCTGGAGCTTTTACACAGTATAGTTCAAGCATTCCTGTATCAGTGAGTGCACAGACAAAGGATCAAATGCAGTTGTCCACAAACCTACCAGATACAGCCAAGCAAGAGCAAAGTGTGGGGTTAAGTGGAAAGAAATTGGTTGAGAGTGGTGTTCAAACAGATGATGAAGATGGGGTTGAAAAGATTCCTTCTGGTAGAAGGAGAAGAAGTAGGAGAAGTGTAGATAGCTGTGTGCAAACTGATGATGAGGATCAGGATGAATGGGATGTCCCCGTTCGGAGCAGACGCAGGTCTCGTTCCAGTAGATATGCTGATGGAGAGAAGGGAAAAAGCTCCAAGGTATCAAGTATTGCGATTCAGACTGTAGCAGAGATTTCAGTTCAGACAGAGCATTCAGGGACAATTAGGAGATCTCCTGTTCGGGCTCAGGTGGACACAAAAGTAGATTTACACAGAGAGGGCCAAACAGAAAGTGATTCAGAAAATACGTCAGACAGAGATAAAAGACGTCCAGCTCCTTCTGAGATAAGTGTTAGCACACACCTGACAGCTGATGATGTTGGAACATTGTTAGTTACCAAATCTCCAAAAGTATTATGCTCCCCGGTTTCACCAGTGTCCCCTGGGAAAAGCTCACAGAAGATGCTTACTGCTGATTCATCAAGGCATCTCAGTAGTACAAGATCACTAAGGGCCTCACAACGATCTCTGTCTGACCCCAAGTCACTCAGTCCGACAACTGAGGACAGACTGATGTACCAGTACTCAGACACCTACTCAGTAAGTACTGCACTTTAAAATGGATTCACTCTTTTCTTGTTATCTAAAGAACATATTTGTTCTATTTTGTCCTCTCCTAATGATTGCATTGCATGTCAAGTGTCCATGCTGAATATATCGATTGCTTGTTTTTCTTTTTATTTCTGTTTTATTAATTTTTTAATCAACAGAGCAAAGGTTCCCAGAGCGGCACACCAGTTGGCACTCAGAAGAAAGTAAAACGCACACTACCTCATCCACCACCGGAAGAAGATACCCTTATTGGCCTCTCTGGGTACACCACTGCTTCTGCCAGAAGACGAATGTGCCGAAACACCACTATGGCGCGGGCCAAAATCCTCCAAGACATAGACAAAGAGCTGGATTTAGTTGAACGTGAGTCCTCAAAACTCCGTAAGATACAGGCAGAACTTGATGAAGAGGAGAAAGAGATAGATGCTAAATTGAGATATCTGGAGATGGGTATAAATAGAAGAAAAGAGGCTTTACTGAAAGAGAGAGAGAAGAGGGAGAGAGCCTACTTACAAGGAGTGGCAGAAGAGCGAGACTACATGTCAGATAGTGAGGTCAACAACATCAGAGAGGCACGAGGTAATGGTCATGGACTAGAACGGCCACGGACTGCCCCACAGTCAGAGTTTAACCAGTTCATTCCACCACAGACTGAGTCTGAGTCCCAGTATGCACATCTTACAAGTCCATACTCCCATTATCAGTATGCATCCCAAACAAGTCAGTATCCTCAGCAGACATTGTACCAGCAGCAGTCTCTTTACCATCAGCAGGTGTCCCCCTACCAATCCATCTACTCATCAGTGCCCTCACTCAATCAACAGTCCCAGCAGACTGGCTATGACCATTCCTCACTCCTCCTGATGCATCAGAAACCCCGTCAGACTACTTTGTCTGACTTAGAACCAAAGATTACGACAAACTATGAGGTTGTACGCAACCAGCCCCTCCTAATTGTCCCTACATCCACAGAGAGTGCCTACGGAGTTTCCCATCTTGGTGGTAAATACAGTAGCCTTGATCTGAGGATGGGCCTGGAAGAGAGGGCCAGCATGGCCAGCAGTCCCATGTCCAGCATATCAGCTGAGTCCTTCTATGCAGACCTTGACCACCACAATGCCAGGAACTATGTCTTGATTGATGACATCGGCGAACTCACAAAGAGCTCTACAGGCCTTTGTTCTAGCTTAAGTATCGCCGATAAGGATATCAGCAAAGCTGACCGACTTCTCCGGACTGCTAATGTTCGTCAGACAGCAGATGTGGCAGACTTTCTTGGACCTCTTCAGGCTTCTTCTCGATTGCATTCATATGGTAAAGCAGACGAAGATTCCATGGAAGAGCCATATGAATTGAAGATGTTGAAACAGCAAATTAAGCAGGAGTTCCGACGTGGTACAGATAGTCTTGAAATGCTTACAGGCCTGCCTCACTACCTCCACTCCGACGCTAGTTTTAGACATTTCCCCAAAGCTGATAAATATAGTATCGGGAGACTAACTTTAGAGAAGCAAGCTGCCAAGCAACTTCCGGCCTCAGTTCTTTACCAGAAACAGCTAAAGAATAAAAAAGCACTAATTGACCCCAAAATTACAAAGTTTTCGCCCATCCAAGAGAGCAGGGACCTTGAGCTAGATTACAGCACCTTTTTGTCCTCTGCCAGCTCATCAGTTGGTGGACTGTCTTCCAGGGCAAGGCTCCTGCAGGATGAGATCACATTTGGTCTTACGAAGAACCTAGTGGAGCAACAGAAATATTTGGGTTCAGCTCTTGGAGCTAACCTGGCTCAGTCACTCAACTTTGGCCAATCTCTCAACCTAGGGCCTACCATAAGGTCTTCCCTTCACGATGATGGCACCTACCCCAGTGGCACTCGGTCAAGACCTTCCTCTAGGCCTTCCTCTGTGTATGGACTGGACCTGTCTATCAAAAGAGATTTGTCAAACTCCTCACTACGCCTGAAAACAGAGGGTGAGGGCATGGATTCCCAGTTTGTATCTAGGGCTAAACCAACAAGTCTGCCAATTAGTCAGAGCAGGGGTCGAATTCCCATTGTTGCACAAAACTCTGAAGAGGAGAGTCCCCTGAGCCCTGTAGGTCAGCCCATGGGCATGGCCAGGGCATCTGCAGGCCCACTTCCACCTATCTCAGCAGACTCACGGGACCAGTTTGGCTCCAGTCACTCTCTTCCAGAAGTCCAACAGCACATGAGAGAGGAGTCCAGGACAAGTGGCTATAAACGGGACATTGCCTTTATAAAGGATGACCTTCTGGGGGCCATGTCAGATAGCGAAGGTAAATTTGTTATGAGATCTGTTATCTTCAACCCCAGCTTCTGTTGATATGCATATGTTGAATGGCTTTGAATGCATTACTTAAATCTGTGTAAATTCAGCTGTTACATTTTCCTTTTCTTTTTTCATATTTTGTCTCGGAATTTTGCTTTACACTTTGCAGTCTGTCACATTCGTATGATGTCATCCTCTTAAATTTAAATTTTCATCTACATATATATATACGTATATATATATATATATATATATATACATAACATATTTTTTTGCATGCTACTTACATGCAAAAAGAAACTGCTTGTTTCCTTTACCATTATTGTTCTGTCATATACATATAAGAAGAGAAGCGATGAAGGAGATCTTCATAACTATTCATTCAGCTACTTTAATTCATTAAACACTCGGTGCCTGTGCTATTTATCACAGGCCTGCAGCTGACGAGGAGTTCTAACTTCAATCTATGAAGTTACAACATCCTGTAGTTTTGTCAGAATCATTTAGTGACTGGTTATCTTAGAAAGGCAGTAGACTGTTTATGAAATATATAAATGGAATTGTGATCATTTTGTTTTGTGCTGTATTTGGGGGAAAAACAGTTATGCAGTTGATCGGTAGAATATAAATTCATCTACAAGCTGCCAGTATCTTTCACTATCTTTCCAGCAGCTATGGGATACTAAGCCATTTATTTCAATCATAATTAAACTCTGTGTTCTTGTGAATACATTCTCTAATGATATATTCATGTGAGTAGCTGGTTTAGTTTGTCTTGTTTTCATTAATCCAGAACATTTCATATTGCTAAAGTGCAAGCATGTCATCACATTGATTGGACTAAACAAATTTTGTGGATTTATGTTTCCCCCTTTTCTGTCCTTGTGGACAATAAAATAGACAAATCTGTGCTTTTGACAAGTGATGATAAAAAGTTGTAAATTAAATGAGAGACTCTGTTTAGACAGGTTTAGTCAAAGTTTCATGAAGTTAATCTGGTTATAACATGCATTCACTGGAGATTAGTTTTCCATTATCTCCAAATCTACTACTTTTAACCCACTTGTTTAACAGTTTTCTTCATGTGATGTTAATGTCTGTAATTGGTGTTTCCAAATTTCATTCTCAATAAATTCTTGCCATTTTTTTTTTTTTTTTTCTAGGCCTTCCTCTGTGTATGGACTGGACCTGTCTATCAAAAGAGATTTGTCAAACTCCTCACTACGCCTGAAAACAGAGGGTGAGGGCATGGATTCCCAGTTTGTATCTAGGGCTAAACCAACAAGTCTGCCAATTAGTCAGAGCAGGGGTCGAATTCCCATTGTTGCACAAAACTCTGAAGAGGAGAGTCCCCTGAGCCCTGTAGGTCAGCCCATGGGCATGGCCAGGGCATCTGCAGGCCCACTTCCACCTATCTCAGCAGACTCACGGGACCAGTTTGGCTCCAGTCACTCTCTTCCAGAAGTCCAACAGCACATGAGAGAGGAGTCCAGGACAAGTGGCTATAAACGGGACATTGCCTTTATAAAGGATGACCTTCTGGGGGCCATGTCAGATAGCGAAGGTAAATTTGTTATGAGATCTGTTATCTTCAACCCCAGCTTCTGTTGATATGCATATGTTGAATGGCTTTGAATGCATTACTTAAATCTGTGTAAATTCAGCTGTTACATTTTCCTTTTCTTTTTTCATATTTTGTCTCGGAATTTTGCTTTACACTTTGCAGTCTGTCACATTCGTATGATGTCATCCTCTTAAATTTAAATTTTCATCTACATATATATATACGTACATATATATATATATATATATATATATATATATACATAACATATTTTTTTGCATGCTACTTACATGCAAAAGGAAACTGCTTGTTTCCTTTACCATTATTGTTCTGTCATATACATATAAGAAGAGAAGCGATGAAGGAGATCTTCATAACTATTCATTCAGCTACTTTAATTCATTAAACACTCGGTGCCTGTGCTATTTATCACAGGCCTGCAGCTGACGAGGAGTTCTAACTTCAATCTATGAAGTTACAACATCCTGTAGTTTTGTCAGAATCATTTAGTGACTGGTTATCTTAGAAAGGCAGTAGACTGTTTATGAAATATATAAATGGAATTGTGATCATTTTGTTTTGTGCTGTATTTGGGGGAAAAACAGTTATGCAGTTGATCGGTAGAATATAAATTCATCTACAAGCTGCCAGTATCTTTCACTATCTTTCCAGCAGCTATGGGATACTAAGCCATTTATTTCAATCATAATTAAACTCTGTGTTCTTGTGAATACATTCTCTAATGATATATTCATGTGAGTAGCTGGTTTAGTTTGTCTTGTTTTCATTAATCCAGAACATTTCATATTGCTAAAGTGCAAGCATGTCATCACATTGATTGGACTAAACAAATTTTGTGGATTTATGTTTCCCCCTTTTCTGTCCTTGTGGACAATAAAATAGACAAATCTGTGCTTTTGACAAGTGATGATAAAAAGTTGTAAATTAAATGAGAGACTCTGTTTAGACAGGTTTAGTCAAAGTTTCATGAAGTTAATCTGGTTATAACATGCATTCACTGGAGATTAGTTTTCCATTATCTCCAAATCTACTACTTTTAACCCACTTGTTTAACAGTTTTCTTCATGTGATGTTAATGTCTGTAATTGGTGTTTCCAAATTTCATTCTCAATAAATTCTTGCCATTTTTTTTTTTTTTTTTGCATGGCTTATGAATGGGAATTTAAAAACATATTGCATGTTACATAAGGAATAATATATTTTTTCAGTGAATATTGTATTAATTTTATTTCTGTGTGTTTTATAAATTTTGAACTATATCATATATTTTGTACTTTTTAATGTAGTGAACATTTCTGGTATTAAAGTGTTTTGAAGGCCAGTCTTATAGGTATTATGTGAGATCATTACACAAATTATTTGTCTAAAAGTATGAAAATAATGCTTCATTCAAATTTATTGTAAAACAGTTTGAATCTTCATGCTTTCATGGCGTTCTTAATGCCATTAAGACAACAGCATTGAGAAACATTTTAAAATCCTCTCTAGAGTGTAATATTGTGTTGAACATCAATCTGTTTGAGAAGTTTAACATAAGCCAGGTGTAAAGATGGTATAAATAAACAGAGTGCAAAGTGTGAATATATGTTGGTTTACAACACTAAATGTTCTGCTGGGTTTGTACAGACGTGACCCCAGCCTCTGTCTTGAGAATATCAGAAATGATTTGTGTTTCTGAAGCAACCTATTTAGCTTTGCTTATGTTTACAGTCAAAGAAACATTCAAGGTTCAAAAAGCTCTTTCAGTAGTCTCAGTTTGTATAAACAAGCTGAAGTAATAAATCACTACTGTTTTAAAGCCATCCATTTTACTTTAACACACATGTTATGTGGTTTCTGCAAATATGCCATAAATACTGTCAATAGAGCTTAGTTCGTTTTGAACCTGGGGCATTTATTTAAGATCACTAATGCCGGTATTGCTAAACAAATAATTGCCTGTATAGCTTTGTGTAATCTTTTTTGCACATCTTATAAATATTATTATATAGAATTATCATTACTTTTATTGGGCTACCTTATAGAATGCAGAATTTATTTAAAAGGCTCTCTAGAGTAAAATACTGACTACAATGGTGTGCTTTATGTATTTTAGAAAATGCATGAATTAGATCTTTGCAAAAGTACATCATTCACTTGCACTGCAAATATAACTGTTTTTTTTTTTATTATTGGCAAACATAGCTCTGTTTTAAGGCTAATTTTATTATGAATTCTCTGAAATACAATGTTTGCACTACAGCTGGAGGTCCTAGCTGGAATGTGAAAGGTGAGAACTGCTGTTCAACAACCTTCAAAATATCATTAAGCATAAACCTACTTCCATGTGTGCCATAGTCTTGAGTGACGGGCATTTCTCAATAGTGCACCTCAGACCCATCCTGGTGTTCATTATCCACTCTAAAAAAAAATGCTGGGTTGTTTCAACCCAATTTTGGGTCAAATATGGACTAACCCAGCTGTTGGGTTACATTTTTAAATAAAATTGTTAACCCAAAAGTTGGGTTAGTCCATATTTGACCCAAAGTTGGGTTGAAACGGCCTGGCATTTTTAGAGTGTCACTGCACTTCCTCAAGGTCTCTCTGACATGGCCTGACCATATCAACCAGGGCACATACATGTCTACATACATGAGTGCATATGTGTGCATACTGTAGCAGAAGTTGTCCATAGGTCATAAGTTCGCCATGGTCAATGCATCCTCTAACTTCGGTAATAAAGTGAAGGCACTGTTGATTTAAGGTGACATTTCCTTGCAGAAGGACAGCACGTCAAGCACTTTATTGAAAACTCCTGCAGACAGATCAAGTTGTCAGTTTTCTTCTCACTCTATTAGGAGTTAAATGATGATTTGTGGCGCACTGTAGTGCTGCCTCATGAATAAAAATGCTTCGCTTACACAGTATTGTAATCAAGGCACCTGCAGGTTGTGCGTACTACAGAGTAAACAAAACAAAAGGTATTGCTCGCCTGATCTATTTTAGGTATGTGCTGACATGTCTGCCCTAGCTTGAGTTATGAATTATTCTAGGTATTCCCAATGCCTTTGAAGAAAGTGCTAGACTACTTGAAATAGAAGCTGGAAAACAGCAGCAGGCCTATGTACAGTCTTGAAGGATGCAAATCTAACATATTATCATTGCAACTCTGTGGGCAAGAACAAGTACACTGCAAAAATCCTTGTCTTAATTGGTATTTTTGTTGTTTTTTACAATTAAAATATCTAAACATTCTTAAGACAAAACAAGATCAGTTTACTTGAGAACCAAAATTGCATATTTTAGAAATACATCTTTGATTGCTTAAATTTTTCTTACACTTTTAAAAATAAAGGTTCTTTATTGGCATTGAAGGGTCCATAAAGAATCTTTAACATCCATGGAACCTTTCCATTGTACAAGAGGTACTTCAGATTATTAAAATGTGCTTCACACTAAGAAAAAAAAAATTGTGTTTAAGAACTGTTCACTGAAATGTTCTTTAGGAAACCAAAAATGGGTCTTCTATGGCATCACTACAAACTCCTCTTTTTGGAACCTTTATTTTAAGAGCATACCCATTATTTTAAGCACGAATCGAACAAAAGTAATTACATTTGTGCTTAAAATTATTTAGTTTTAGATTTGTTACACAATTTTGTGTCTCAACTAAATTTATCTTTAAGAATGTTTTAACATTTTGATTGAAAAACAAGGTGAAAACACTACTTAAGAAACCGTTCTGGCGTGCAGATTGCAGCTTGAAATAAGTGAATTGTTTTAGCATCATGAAAGTCTGGTTTTATAGAACAAAAGCTGTGGTTTTGTTTGAGTAGTGTTTTTCTTGTATATGCTAACTAGTGTACTAGAGAGTGTACTAAGAGAAAACGTACTAATCATTAGACATTTGGTAAGGCATCTCATCATCACACTGTTGTATGATGGTGTGTGTATGTGCGTGTTTCTGCTGTGGTTCGGTCCCACAGCAGTTCTCTATCAAATTCTCAACGCATGACATGTAGCCCAGTCTGGAAGAGACACAGCATGCATGTTCATGTGTGCATGCCTCGACACACGTCTCAGATCCTTGCTTTTTATGCCCTCACCATCCTCTGTCACTGCTTCCCCTGGGGTCAGGGTACTTAGTACATGTAACATTTATCTAAACAAACTCTTGATTTGAGGCCTTGTGGAACGGAGGTTAGTGTCCAACCCATTTAAACCATAGATTTTGTTCTTGGAAGCCCTGACCCAAATCCATCAAGCTGTCAGTTCAAACACTCTAGCAAAGGAGTGTCCCCAACTGGGGGTGGTGAAGGGATGGTTGTCTGGGAGAAAAGTGGTGGACACATGACCCAGTTTTGTCACTTGTGATGGTACAGCGGATGCTTTCTTCCTGTCTTTTAGCATATCACCTTCAGCACGAAGAGACAGACTGGTTTGACAAACCCTGCCAGGGACGTTGTGGACCAGAAGCCGGGGCAGAGAGAAGACCGGTAAAGTGGCACCTACAGGGTGAACGTGATTTTGCCAAGTAGGATGTGTTCCTGGAAACTTTAGTTGATTCTGGAATAACATACCCATCAAAAACCATAGCTTGTAGAGTAGAGTAGTAGAGTTATAGGTCAATATCAATGATGTTTTAGCCACAACCCAAACTGTAAGGCTAACTGTACAAACTGTTATTCCAGGAACATGTTCTACTTAAACCACAGTCACCATGCAAACACATTAATATACTGCACCTATCTTTGAAAGAACACCAAACTACATCTGCATACATGTACTTATTGCAAAAGCGCTGTTCGAACTACTGTTCATTAATTTGGATTGTTTTCGTTGTTAAAGATGAAAGGCAGCCATTACCCCTTCCCACACACTCGCATCAAACTGCAACGGGACCCTAAGGACCACACCATCTCAGGTATGTTTTCATAGCAATTACTCCACAAGATACACATAGGCCTGCAAATTAAATTACTGGAAGGAAAACGTCTCGGGTTACTTATGTAACCATGGTTCCCTGAGGGGAACGAGACACTGCGTCCTCTAGGGGTCGCTATGGGGAACGCCTCGTCGTGACCCGTGTCTGAAGCCTACATTGAAAAAACACCAACTTGTTTGGCCGGCGACAGCCATGACGTCACTACCGTCGCAACTAGTACAAAATAGGCGCCGGTAGCGCACATCATCACTTCTTCGTCTGAAGCTTGTGTCCACAGCATG